TATATATCGTAATATCACACATTTAATTACTAATGTCATATTTTTTTTATTTTAATTGATTATTATACTTTTTAATTTATTAAGACATAATAAATATAAATTTTTAAAATATATATAATATAAAGATATAATAAACAATTACACTAAAAAAATATAATATTAATTATTTGAAATATGATAATAATTTCACCCATATTAAATTCAATACTTGTTAACTAAATTTAAAAAAAAATAATAATAATATTTTAAACTACGTTGTGAAAACTAGTATGTTAAGAAAATAAAAATGAAAAGTCCTCAAAGCTATAGACCGCAATAGCACTAAACTGCAACAAAAATAACTTGTTCTAGTCCATATTGTACAGACGGCCATTTGCTAAAAGAAAATCCCCACGAATTTTTAAGCCTTCTTTCCCGCATTGAAAGCTAAATAGGTATAATTAGTGCATGATAAATGGCAAATGAGAAAAAAAAATAAATATATATATATATATACATACTATATAGAATCACAATCGACAACCGGGCCTATGGCCCAATTGATTGGCCCTCAAGCTTTAGGGTTTGGGTGGGGTGGAGTGGAGGTCAGGGCTTCGAGCTCTGCCACCGCCGTGAACTTCACCACCAACTTGCGACTTAAATGAGGGGTGAAAGGTTCACTTTCCTAAAAAAATTTCAGCTGTTAACAAACTAACTCTACTAATTTCCTAATCATCTAATTGATCAAATATATATATATATATATATAATCACAATCACCCCGGCCCTTGAAGCCCACTGACATTGCCAATCTATGGGTGCGTTTCCCCTTCCGCTGGCGGTTTCAAACCGCCCCTTGCCCAAATGTTCAAAAAATATATATATATATAGAATCACAATCATATGATTTGACTTCTGTGTTTATAAAATATAAAAATAACACCACGAACATCAGCACATGGCTTTTGACTGCCATTTTGGTTGTGGTTTTATTATAGCTTTATTTTCTTTTCATCAGTCCTAGGTACACAGCGTTTTTTGGTTTGCAATCTCTGACAATTTCTTCTTTCGAGAAATCCTAAGTGGCTTAGGTGATCAGTTATATATTATTAAAACACTTTAATTTGTAATATAGGGTTGAATTTTACCTCTTTTAATTTTTTTTTATTTTTTTAATAATTTTGACATTATTTATAGATATATATAAGAAGAAGAAAAAATTTTTGTGAAATTTAAATACGTAATCCACAGGAAGTAAACAGTTTTAATTCAAGATCCAATATCACTAAATTAAAATGTCACTAAATTAAAACAGACCATTCCTCTTTCCTAAATTTTTCATGTTAAAAAAACAAAATTACAATTTCTCTTTTCAGTTTTCTTTTAGGTTAAAATCCCTTTTTGGTCCCTGGACTATTGTACGGACCCTCGATTTGGTCCCTGAACTAAAAAAATCCTTGATTTGGTCCCTATTGTTTACCATTTTTACCCCGATTTGGTCCCTCCGTTAAAAATTGTGTGACGTGGCCTGTTACTTAACGGTTAGCGGATGACATGTCATGTAATAATCCACGT